GGCCACCACTTCCATGCTGCTTTCTTGAGCTGAAGAGCTGTTTTCCATTAATTAGAAGTGCTGTTCTGAATTGTATTTGGCTCATTTAACCTCCCATGAGCAAACGATCACTGGAGAAGTTGAGCCAACCTGGAGCTCCACCGGCTGAGCTCAGAGGAATGGAGGTCTGTTTGAAACCAGAGCTAGAGTTTCTGGCCTCTTCAAAATTGGTAATTGCCAGGTGATAGGGAGATGAAACTATCTTCAGTGATGTTTTTGTGCAGCCTAGTTACAGACTACTTGGTCTTAAGCAATTAGAGCTATTTCTGTTTCATACTCTTAATAGAGCTTGTTGTCAGGCATAATTCCAATCATCTTGGTGTTAAGATCCCTCTCTCTGACAGCACTTGCCACACATCGCTGACAATTTTGCAGTTATCAGTACCAAGGCATCCAAAGATCACTGACACTGAGGCACAGGGAAGACACCCCCTCCCTTTTCCAGGGTTATAAATGTGAATTAGCTCCATTCAGTTAACCTCACACTTGTGCACAGACCCGCTAATAAGAGCAGCAGCTTGTACGAGGGTGGTAGCAGCCACCCACGGGAGAGGAGAAGCTGTGTTGTACTCTGGCCCATGCAGAACTCTTCTAAGTATTGGAGAAATAACCCTTTATTGGGATCTATTTCTTGCCTGTTGTAGTTTTGGGTTTCCCCATGTCAAAATTCAGAGAAGGCTAAGCTGAGCCTTGCCCTTTCCACCCACAGCCCCAACTGCAATCATATTCATCAAACCCGGCTCTTCAGCTCGTACTTAGGTAACAATTTACGCCAGATTTTGGTCATTTGCTCATCTTCCACTTGAGACCTCATCAGAAAGGTGAGTACACCCAGTGATTGCAGCTGCTGCCTTTTGTTTCATGGCATCCTCACTCCTGCAGCCTGGACCAAGAGCAGCCTGTTTTGTTTAGCCACAGTGTTGGGGCTCACCTTGAGAAGTCTTCAAACCTCCTACACAAACCAGCTTTGCTCCTCAACAGCATTTTGTTGGGTGTTTTGAATTAGATTGAGCTTTACTTCGCTGTCAGGACATAATTTAAAAGGCACAGGCTGGATAGCATCTGCCTCTTGTCTGCAGCACTGAATTACTCTTAGACTACTCCTGAAGAGATGAAGACATCAAGACAGAGAAATCAAGTGGTACAAGGCAGAGCTGATCCATGCCCAGGGTGCTGGATCAGTCTGTCCTGTAGCTGCTCCAGGGGCCAGGAGCATCTGCACTCCATAGTGCAGGAGAAAAACAGTCCTGGGGTATTGCAAATAACATGTAAAACAAACAAGCAGCCTCAGACTGCCCTGATCCTTATCTGTAGCACTTCAGCATTTTGCCGTGCCCTGACAGCCTCAAGGCAAAACTGTTTCAGAGATGGGGAACTTGATGAAGGGACACTGAAGTGGAAGAAAGTCTCCTGAATAGCTGTGGTGTGACCTGGCCACCCCAGGGAGTGGACATGGTCTGGCTCCATCAATGGAGTCTGGGACAACAGACCTACAGTTTGTGGGCTCCAAAGTACCAAACATGGTTGTATTCAAAGGCACTGAGATCCCTTTCCTATTGCAGAGCGGTTTGCCTTTTTAACCCGGATGTAAGCCCAGCTTCTTGATGGCTCATGGGCACTTGGTGTGATTTAACACATTCCTCTACCAGCCTTCCTCCTTGACAGGCTCTGGTTCAAAGTCAGGGGACAAAGGGACCTACAGGCCTCTAGTGAGGGATCACACAGGTGCTCTCACATCCACCAAATTCCAAAAAGCAACAGTCCCTTTCCCATTCCTACCTCAAACAACACAACACAGGGGGGATTTCAAGAACATGTTTAATGATGGCAGTTTCTACTGAAACACGAGAAGTCCATTCAAACCCATCTTACCAATTTTTCCTTAAAAAGAAGCTTTGGTCACAACAACAAATTCCTTTTTAAAAAAAAAGTTCAAGCAGTTGCACAAAACTGAACACATGGTCCTGATACCTCCTCACACACAAACTGCAGCAGCAGAAACTCATCTAACAGAAGAAAAAAATCCTTAACAAAAACCACAGCCCGCTGCTCTGCAGAGATTATACCATGTACATGGAGTTAGAGGGAACAGTTATGAACTAAGTGTTTGAATTAATTAGTGCCTGTAGACTCCTACAAGTCAGTTTGGGCTTAAGGGTAAGCACATTAGGATAGCACAAAGTTAGTGTGCAAGTGTTTGCAGTCATCTCTGCAACTTCCAGGGGAAAAAATGGAAATACAAAGCTATCTGTGCACTTAGTTCTGCAGGCAAGCGTGGCACGCTGACTTCTGGCTTCTCAAGTGTAATCTCTGGTGACAGGGCTGTGGTTGAGTAAAGCAGCTGCAATTCTGTGCAGGGTTTTCCCTCCTCAGCACAGCATGCACAAATGGAAAAGCTTCTCATTCACTTGCTCTGTTTTGCCTCTGCTACGAGTCGGTAGATTCTGTAAGCAGTGAGTGAGCTACGGGCAGACAGCTGTAATAACATTTCTGTTTTCATTTTCTGTAACAAAAAAATACGCCTTTAAAAATACTCTTGAACAAAGCAAGTTTGACTATGCAACACAAAATAGCAGATACTAAGACACTTTACAGTCACAATCAAATTAAATCTGCATTGTAAGATACACAGAACATTAAGGTAAAACACTCATGTAGTGGTTAATGGCTATTTCTTCTCAGATGAACTCCTAGAACTACCTGAACTAAACAGTTCAAATTATTAAAACTATGTTTTAAACTGATTTCTACTATTAAAAAAATATTCATATATATATTATTAAATGAGTCACGTCAAGTGCTCTTAAAATCTTAACTAAATATAGCTATAGAATGTTTAACCAGACACTTTAAATCACATACAGCAAGTTTTGTAGAGGTAAACATTGCCTCACATTTGCAACAGCAACTGAGTATCAAACAAAGCATTCGGATTATTTTCATGACTGTGAGCAACTGGTCAGGTTGACCTTTTATTTCCACCAAGCAGCTGCTGCTTCCCTATAAGCATTTTTTAGCTTATGGCACACAGTTTGGGACCTCTCTGAGGAGCCAGAGCATCCCAATGGCAGTTGAGCACCTCCATCTTCAACATCTTAAATACCTGGTCCCTGTCCACCATTGGAATTTGCCACTTTGTGAAAATGGAGGGATTTTTTTTAGCCACAAGCAAGGGGAGCAGATGGCCTTTGCCAGCCTAACTCAGCGAGTGGCCTGAAGTTGCTGCAAAAACTCCCGATTTCAAGAACTGATGCGCCCTCAGAAGGCAGAAGTGCCCTTCATGCACCTCTTCCTCTCATCTCTCTCCTACATAACTTGGTCTTGCCTTTCTTTTGTGCACAGAGATGGTTTCATTCCCTGTCCACCACTCTCAGAGTGCCTAATGCTCAGTTTAATGAGCGTGGCAGGAGAGTGGACATGAACATGTTGCCATGGTGCCTGCACAGAGAGGGCAGCCACCTCACCCATCCCCTCCTTCCACACACGCCAACAGAAGCTTTTAACCTCCCTCTCTCCTCTCAGCATTGCCACTTCTCCAACTTCAAAAGGGCTCGGTCTGCCCAAGAAGTTCAATTCCCAGTCTTCAAAGTCTTGCAGTCCTGAAGAGCCACGGTATTTCCTTCTGAAGCATCCAGCCTAAGTCTGAAACCTGTTTCACCAAGGTGGGGAAAGAGCCCCAGATCTCATCTTGACCTGCAGCATCATTCCACCCTCTGGTCCCTGCAATTCCTACCAGCCAGAACACAACCTGCCCTGCCCATCCTCACCTCGCAGCTGACATGTCAAATATTGCTTAGTAACAGTGGCATGGAATGACTCAAACTCATTCCATGAATGAAAATCACAGAGCATTTTATATTGCCTCGATGACTAATATTAACACAACAGTCTGCTGTGGGATTTTTCCATCCAGGCTGAGCTGGCTGTCTGCAGAGCTTTTGCTGAGTCACAGCTAGGGGAAGCAAGCTGTGGTATGGGAGCTGCTGGGATGAAAGCACCAGGCTACTGGAAAAAAAAAAAAAAATTCCCCTTCACCTCCTTTTACCAGGGGAGCCACACAGAACTGGTACAGGTCGTGGTATCATGACAAGGCAGTTTGGTGTTCTCAGCAAGCTTCAAATCCCAATAGGGTTTTAAAAAAAATAAAAATCCCAACACTGGCAGCCGGCTGCAAGGCTGGTGCTTTGCCAGAAGCTCTGCAGTCTCTGAGAGGGATTGCAACCACATGAGGGTCAAGCAAACAGTGGGACAATCCTAAAACAATTGGAAAAGATGCGTTCCTCAGGAAAAGCAAGGTTCCAGCCAGCTTAAAAACCCAAAATAAAAGGTGTTAAGGGCTGCACTAAACAGTAAAGTCTGAACTGCATCTGTGGTTACTTTAAAGGGAAACCACAAAGTAAAGAAACTAACCCAGTTGGGTTTGCCCTTTCTCCTGCTGGCCTGGAAAGTGTCCATGCCTGTGGTCTCCTAAACCCCATTCATCCAGAGGCAGCAATCTCATTCCCACAGTGTCGTCCCACAGCTCTGACCTCTGCAGCATAAAGCACAGCAGAGAGCAACAGCTAAAAATGCATCCTTGAGTTAAGTGAGCTTTGTCAAGCAGGTAGTAAGGGAAAACTTCCAGTTTGATAGAGAGTAAGATTACTTACATGAAGCTTCCATGAAAAATAAGACATGTTCTCTCTGCAATCCAATCATTCCACATGAGGACTTACTTTGCTTAGAAAAAAGGTAATATAGATGAATTGTAGACAAGTTACAGTCAGCACAGGACAGTACAAAACACTGATTTTACTCCCTGTGGAAGGGCAGAAAATTACAAAAATATATCTTCTTTAATCCAAGACTGCTATAGTTTAGAGTATGCCTGACTCTTCCTATTTCCCAGTGGTGTCATTTATTGAAGTTGGTCTGATCAGAGCTCCTTGGGACAATGAGAGTGTCATCATGAAAGCTTAGTGCAATTGTTGTTAAAAAAAAAAAAATAAAAAAAATCAGTAGCAAGTCTAGAAAATTTTCTACATGAGTCAACCTCTCACCCCCAGCCTTCAAAACTACACGAAACATAGTGTGGCATTTCAGCATGGCTTACATTTTTACCACCTAAAGTCCTACGTCACATCTCTAAGGCCCAAAAATACTTCTTGATTTTTTTTTTTAAACATGTGATCTGTTTAACAATGGCCAAAGTTTAACAGAGACAGAAGTATTGAATTAGGATTTTAGAAAAATAAGTCCTTGAGGCAGCTCAGTTCAATCTTCCTTGTCTTCCTCCTTCTGCAAAACTTATTTAGACCACAATAAGCTGCACGTTGGTACATGGGGCTGCATCTTGTCATGATGTGGTGACACCCCAGCCCTCCTGAAGCAAGAGAGCTGAGTTTGCAGAGAGGAACTCTGGTCATTCCAATGCAGCAGTTGGGAAACCAGGGAACCAAATGGTGATGTTTTAGTCAGAAGATCCACAGCCTGCTGCACAAACAGCACCTCGAGGAGGTGAGGCTTGGTTTGGTTGTGACGCTGCAGAGATGAAAGCCTCCCCTTTCACAGTTATGGGTTGGTTCAGCAGGTCCCTCGACAGCAGAATGACACCTCGCAGGGCACTGACACTCCACGGAGCTGCTTTACCTGGAAACCAGGAAGAATTACTACAGATGTAGATTTGCAATTAAATAGCTCACTGGCAGAGATGAAAACTCATGTGCAAAGCAGAAAAAAAAATCGATCCCAAGAGCCACAAAGGAAGAGGCAGCATTATTCACTGGGATTGCCATCAGTCCCCCCTCAGCAGTTGATGTCTGTGGTGTACTGCCATTGATGTGATGTTAGCACCATACCAGAGGAAGAGAGACCAACTGAAGGCAAAAGCAGAGTTGGGTGAGACAAAACCCAGATGCTGAAAGATCTTGTGGCCAGTCACCTGCAGAGCACAGAAGGGAATGTGCACGGGGAGGCTGATATTTCACTGCAAGTGAAACTGCATCTTGAACAGCATCTTTTCACACTAGTGCAGTCCCTTACTAACCAACACACATGGATCATCCTCCTTGCTATGGGTGCTCCTCCTGACACCCTAGTGCTTTAACTGCCTCAGGGTTCAAAATAAAGTTTTAATAGGAACTCCAGGAAGGAGGTGAGAGCCCTCCCATAGGACTGCATGAGGCAGCAGGACATGGTGTGCTCTAACAACTCTTACAGCAGCATCAGGAAAGAACCAAACAAAAACTGCTTTTTCACCATCTCTTTACTCCCCTGCTGTGGGCCTATGGGAAATCCTTAACAGTAGCACCAAAGCTTTGGCAATTTGTTGTATTTATAGTGAGCTGCTGCCTGTGTTGGTGATTTGCACCCCCTTCAGATGAGGATAAATGATACCCCTCCATTTATACACAACCTGTCACTGCTGCCTGCTGGGGAAAAAAAATAACCTCCTATAAACCTCAGCACAATTCACCTGGCGTCATCCAGAACTGCCTGCAGCTTTCACTTGAAAAAAAATCCATTAGAGCTGCTCCCTTGGGAGTGAACACCTCACTGTAACAAGTGGACAATTCCACGTTCCATTCAGAGATGCACACGCGGTCAGGATCTGGAAAGGATGTAGTCAAAGAGAAGGCACCAGTAGGGTAATTCTCATATTTTACAGAGATTCCCAAAAGACTCAAGCACATCAAAGGCTGAGCCCTGCAACTGTGATGAAGATGTTTCTACACAGTTCAATGCTATCAGTGCCTGAAAAAGGGATGATTCCAGAATCCAGCCCTTACATGTGGTGCACCTTTCCTCTGAAACATCCTGCAAGCTCTCAAAAGCCCTTTAGACTCATGATAGTTGAATAAATATTCCTGTCCTCTTCCCTCAGCTTGCCACCATTCCTTACCAATAAATCTTTCTCCTTTCAAGAGCACTTTGGAAGATGCATTCCTAAACTGCTTCTGCGTTCTCCTGGTGCCGCTGCTGTTACAGGGAAAAATGACAATCCACGGGGGAAACAAACTGAGGAATTTTACTCAGCCGACAGAATGGACAGAGGCTTCAATCTGGCCAAGAAAAACTTTCCATCAGTATTTATTTAGGAGCCTGACATCAGGACTGGCATTTAAATTCCAAGTTCTTCCCCAACTCCAGGCTGTCACATGGCACATATCACCCTGGACAGTTGTGAAATTCCCCCAGCTGGGCTCAGCAAGCTTAGCAACAGCACAACTTGCCTCCAACAGCTGCAAGTCAGCAGGGAGAGGAGTCACTGCTGATATCCCAGATTACTGAAGTGCTTTCAAAGCCTTTCATGTGCAAGGCACCACAGAATTTATTCAGTACTTGTTTTCAGTTTCCTATTGAAGCTGACAAGAAATCCCCCAATGAGCTAAGCTAGAGTTAATAAGCTTAACAAGCTAACAATTTTATTTACCTTTTCAGAAACTGGTTCTTTTTGCAGCTGTTTTAATCTCTTTTCTCTTATTACACAAAACAAGCAGAGTGCTCTGTGGTGGGGGATGGACACCAGCTTGTTGGGCATGTTTGCCTGTAACCTACTTTACTTCACTGCTCTCTCTACTCGAGTATCACAGGGTGCCAACTCCCTGATGAATCAATGGCTTTAGCTCCATTAAGGAGATGATCACGGAACCCGTGCAAATTTCCCTTGCCTTCTTGAAAGAAAGTGCTAAAGGAGAAAAGAGGAGAGGGAACTCTTCAAATCAAGATCTATTTGTGGGATGAGAAAGAGCACACTCGGAAGATGGGATTTAGCTTTCCACTAACTCATTTTTGAAGTTGGGCAGCAAGTGTAATCCCATCATAAAACTTGAGAAAACGTCTGACATCTAGAAAATGATGACCAACACAGTTCATATGGTCCAGAAATCAATTGGACAGGGATGGTTTTCAGCCTTCAGCAGCACAGATTGAACTGGTGATCAAGAAACAAACACTCTTTTCATGCTCAGTTTGCTTTCTTTGTGTAACTCTGTAATAAATTTCAGAACAATTCCTGAACTTTTTATCCAAATGCTCTCTCAATACCAGAGTAAATACATACGGAAAACCATCCTCCATATGTAAACACTGGTTTCCATGAAGCTTTTCAAGGTGCTACTGTGCAAGTCATCTGGCATCTTTGCTCCTGTGACAATCTTAGATTTACACTTTCAGCCTCTTGTCACACAGAAACTGTGCCTGCAGAATTAGAGAGGCCACTGACAGAGCTGGAGTGCAATTGCAATGAAGGGATCTGATCCAGCACACCCACACTTTGGAATTCAACAGAGGCAGCAGTGGGTGGATTTTGCATCCACAGAAAGGACTACGTTTGGGTAAGATTTTGAAGTGGTCTCATTAGTTTGCCTTACAGGAGGAAGGTGGTTATTTCTTGTTGCTCCACTGCCCAAGGGAAGCCAGGGGCGGGTTCTAGTGGGAGCCTAAAAAACCTTAAAGCCTCCTGGAAAAAAAAAAAAACACCTTAAATCCAACAGCCCAATTTACACTGTCTGCTGTTCTTTGATGCCTCATGTAAGACTGGAAACAAATCCACACAAGGACAAAGCATTAAAGGAAAGAAAATTAACTGCATGAGAACAATTGGAGAGGTAAACGCAGCTTCTCCCCTGTTGCTGCTCCACACCGACTGCCTTTTAATCAGAGAGCCGTTTGCATTGCACAGAGAGAGAGCACAGAATCTCAATTACTCCCCCAAACACAGATGCAAGTGCCAGAACAGATCTTTCAACGATGGGAGGGGACCTCAACCAAACCAGCCC